ATTTTCACTTCAATTTTTAACCCATAACCACTAGGAAAATTGTATTTTGTGAAATGTCTCTTGTACATAGATAGCTCCAAAAGTACTAAGCCACAAAGGAGTCAGTTTATAGGCCTCACAATATCACCCTATTTGATCTTCTAGTGAGTTTTTGTCAATTCTCTCTCTCTCTCTCTCTCTCTCTCTCTCTCTCTCTCTCAGGTAGTACTAGTAATTGACTCATTTGTGACTAAGTACTTATGAAGTTATGTATGTGTAAAGACAATAAACTAAACTCAAAGTGGAGATTACATGTTCGAACATGTCATTCCTGGTGGCATTAAAATTTTAATTCTGTTATAAATCCTAGTTATAGTTAAAGACCTCTGAAAGCGGTCACAAAATACTTGCAATAAAAGGGAACTGGTTCAAGAACTCTGTGTGAATACATGCCTGCCGCTGAGGAATTCCCATACTCCTCTTGGTGTATGAAGAGCTCATCACACTGTTAGATGTCAAATTTATCTGCTTATTACATGAAAACACATGGCATTGGCTCTCCGGCATCTTAGCTTTGTTACAGATACACCTGCTTCATCTCTCAGCGCTGCCTAGTGCCTAAAATAATGTGAATCTTTTTTTTTTTTTTACTTTCACCCTGAAGTTTCTAGTTTTAACATGAAGAGAAAATAGAAGTCATTGATTATGTGAAGACAAGAAATGGAAAAATTTCCATTACAGAAGACTGAAAGATGCATTTCATCCACAGGTGTTGTGAGTAAGACAACATCAGCCGTAATCCCTGTGGCCCAAAGAAGAGTTGTTCATACCTCATTAGGTACAAATAACTACCATAGTATCATACAAACACAGGCACAACAAAAGCAGTGCAAAAGAATTGTTCATCTGACTGTGTCTGATAACGATGAAGCAAATTCTAGTCTACTTAAAAATGCCCACTCAAAATTTAACAAAATATTTGGTGATATTATTCAATTGTTCAGTCAGGATCACTCATATATATATAATGATTATATTTGTAGGCTTGAAATAATTTGAGGCCCCTTTCATTCACTGAATCAAAACCCTGAACTAAGTATGAAATGGTTCTTTGCAAAAGCAGAATAAAATTCATAGTCAAGTATTGTCGTAATCAAGTCTAGTAAGCTGTGTGCCTGCATGTGTTTGTTTGTGTTTGTGAAAATATTTTTTTTCTTTTTATCTTGTATTTTTTTTTGGCTTGGATATAGAATTACATGGCACACAATGTGACACGTAAAAATTATTTTAAAATCCAGCTAACCTTATTTATGTAAATACTTCTTCCTCCTTCCTCCCCTAGTTGACATATTCAAATATAGCTCTGTATTTTATTCTAAATTTAACTAAGGTGCAACATATTTTCAGTTTCAATATTTGGCTTAGCGCCTTATTTTTAAAAAGTAAGATGAGTGACCGTAAACTTTTTCATGAAATGTCTCTTTATATAAATAGAAATCTTTTTTTGCCTTGATGTATGGATTTAATTTTTTCTCTCTCTTAGTAGGAAACAGAGTGGCAGCACCACGTCCTGCCGGTCTTGGGCCAACCCCTGGAACACTCGTAAAAGTACCTGTAACTGGTGCAACTCAACTTGTAGCAATACCTGTAAGTTTTTGTTATTGTGTTAGAGATGAGATAATATGTTCATATTTAAAACTACTTTTTTTCATTCTTTTCTTTTCTTTTCTTTTCTTTTTAAGTATATGAAGTATCAGACTTAGATATGGCAAGAAATAAAAGTTATTCTTGAGGCCATTACATTTTCAAGTTTTCTTATATTTGCTTTGATTTGTATTCCTTTAACAGCAAGCTGGTCAAGTTGTTCTTCTGCCACCTGTCTCAGGCGGCCAACCAACTACAGCACTGGTAGTCAGTAATGTGGTAAGCCCACTCTTTCTTTCTTTCTTTCTTTCTTTGTAGTCAGTAATGTAATGTGGTAATCCCACCTTTTTTTCTTTCTTTCTTACTTTGTATAGTCATTAGTGTGGTAAGCCTACCTTTTTACTTCTTCTTTTTCTTCTTCTTCTTTTTTGTAGTCCGTAATGTGGTAAGACCTCTTAGGTACTTCATTTTCTTCTTTTGTCTTTCATTTACTACAACAGGTTTCCATATTTGACTTTTTTTTCTTTAGCCTCTCTTGTCACACAAGGATAAATAGATCCTCTCCTAACACATTGGATCCAGATGCTTCTCTGCCATCATGTGGCCTAAAATATAGGGATTAGGCTTACTGGAGCAGCCACTCTGACGGAAGTGTGGCCTGTAGGACGGGCACATATGAACACTCATGTGCAGTGGCAAGACTCAATAACTCTCCATTGCAATATGACTTTTTCTTTTTCTACGTGAGGGGTTTTAGCTATTTTGCCATTTTCTAGTGTATATTTTTCATTGGATTTGTTTTATTCAGATAGGAATGGACTGATTTTCTTGCACATTCTAAGTATTCCCATAACTCATGGGATAACAATAACAATAAGTAACATTTTGTTATATATCTTTCATATTCTGCAATAAATTTTTTATAAAACAACCTACACTGCTAGTCATGGCCGTCAGGATTAGAACTCTGAACATGGAAATGATGTCCTCCCTAGAGCCAATACCTTTTTAGTCATGACTTACAGATTGTACATTCCACACTTGTTTTTCAGTGGAAATAATACAAAAGCCCCTTAGAAAGTTTCTAATCGCCCTCAAAGAGCTTTGTGCTCTCGTGACAAGTCATTTCCTTCACCCTGGCCCACAGCCAAATTTTCGCATGTTCACGTCTACCAACCCTCAAGGCCAAATTTTTTCATAATGTGATAGTCACATCTTCCGAAATTAAAGAGGAAATAATGATGATAAACAAGATTGTTGTTCATACACCGGCTGTATGAGAAGGAAGAAATTGATAGAAAGATATGACACCTTGCCTTACCTATATCAGACATTGAAAAACAAGTAACAAAGAAATCGGCATCTCTTGTGTCAGTGGCTTCATTTCCTGTCTAGATTCAAATTTTTAATCCGTTGCTCTTCCATTTGCTCGTTCTTCCTCTCAAGGTTTTGCTTAAGAAGATTACTTATAATCAGTCTCTCTGCTGGAAAGGGATATTATATTGCCCATTTGGAAATTACTTTAATTATCAGTTAATAATCCTGTAAATACCATTGAAATATATCTTTTTATAAATGACCTTTTGAGGGGACCATCCTGGCCAATGCCTTCCTTGTAGTCATTTGATCCTAAAAGATAACGATTTGAGATTCCCACCGCCACCCCCCCTCATCTTTTTATTTGTTGTATTATATAAAATTGTACTTCTTTCCATATACAAATTGTACCCCCC